GCTATAAAAGTTCTTGAAGAAAAAAAATTGAAAAAAATCTTAGTAATCTTATGTTTGACAAGAATTTCTTAAATTCAACACAAAAAACTGAAATGTCAAAAATTGGACTTAGTAAAAATGTTTGCTGCTAAGACATTGTTACCAAAATAAACGGAAACATGAAGACAGAGAAATATTTACAAAATCTGTATCTAACAAAGACTCTGTATCTAAAATATATAAAGAGCTCCTGAAACTTAATAATGAGAAGATAAACAGCCAAATAAAAATGGGCAAAATATTTGAGCAATCATATCCCCGAAAAAGACATATAACAAGCACATGAAAAGATGCTCAACATCATCGGTCATTGGGCTAACGTAAATGAAAAACCAAGATGAGATAGTAGTGCACACCTAGTATTTATGACCAAAATTGGAAAGACTGAACATACCAAGTGCTAGTATGGGTATGGAAGAAATGGAACTCTCATACGCTGCTCATGGAAAGGTAAAATTGTACAATAACTTTGGAAAACAATTTAACAGTTTCTTCAAAAATTAAATATACACCAACTACACAAGCTGGAAACTCCATTCTGAGGTTTCTACCCAGGAAAAATAAATGGCTATATCTATCAAAGACTCGTGCATGAGTGTTCAAAGCAATTTTATTTGTAATAGATGAAAAGAAAAAAAAAAGTCCATCACAGATTTATATACCCATCACAATGGTAATAAAAAGGAAGAAATTACTGAGACGTTCAACAACTGGGCAGAATCTGAAAATAATTATGTTTAGTGGAAGAAACTAGACACACAGAGAATATACTGTATTTTTCCACTTGCATACAGTTTAGAAAACACAAACTACTCTACAGTATCATAAACAGATGAGGGGTTCCCCAGGCATGGGGAGGGGTGAGGAGAAAGAAAGAAATTAACAAGGGGAATGAGGATATTTTGGGGCATAATAGATATATTCAGTATCTTGATTGTAGTAGTTTCACAGATGTACATATATATGAAAACTCAGAAAATTGCACATTTTAAATATGTACAGTTTATTTTACATCAACTTTGTGTCAATAAAGCTTTAAAAATAACAGTTTAAAGATAAAGTATTTTGGCCTCCATACTAAAGAGTTTGATTTTTCTCTGTAAGTACTTGAACATAGTCTTTGGATCCCTTTTTATAGGATCAAACAATGTTATAAATGGTAAGTATTCCAAATTCATCTGGTCCAATCACTTCATTTTACATATTTGGTAGCCAAAATATATTTTACATATTTGGAAGCAGAGAAACTAAATGGGTTTTCTAAGTTATCTGTCAACATGACAACTAGAATTGCATTCTGCTGGCTTCAGCTAGGATACCTTTCACACATTTCTGGAGTTTTTTGCTGTACTGTCCATGAGACCAAATTTCCTAATATGAACAGTGACAAAACTGACAAGGAACAGACATTCCAAGAAAGCTCCAAAAGTGTCTCTGCTTCTGCCATCTGTTCCTTAAGAATTGCATGATGAGAAAAAAAAAAAAATGTGCTGTCCTTTTATGTCTTATAAAATGTAAATCCTGAATACTCCTTTTGGTATCAATATTTTGCCCTTTTGCTTCAATTATGTAAAATGACTTTTTTTTTTTTTTGGTAAAATGACTCTTTATCCACAGTTAACATATTTTCAGAAAGCTTATCCAAATACGACTTTCTCATAAACTATTGTGGCAAAAATTAAAATGTGTAGATTTTACCAACAAAATAATAGATTTTTTTTACATTGCCTGAATATAATGTTTTGCCAAAATTTGGATTTTTAAGCAGAGTGTTAAATCTCTGAATTATCAGTTCAGGAGGATGGATGAGTTCCTTGCCTATACCACACCAGTGTTACTAATTTTAATTTAAACTTTTCAATTTACTTGTTGCCTCAACAGATGATGTCTGTAGCAGATGATGCCTTTTTCTACTCAATCTCTCTCTCTCCCACTTTTTTTTTTTTTTCTGATAGCTATGTTCGTCTCCTAGTGTAGGGTTAGAAACTACCTTTCCTGGATTCCCTGATGTAGGTGCTGACATGATCCTGATGTGGAAGTCTTCTGGAGGCTTTGGTTTGGTTGGGATGGACAGATAATCTTTCCTTGAGCACTGTCCTTAGCACATTTTGTGGAAAAAAAAAAAAAAAAAAAGATACCTAGACCATCTGCTCGAGGACAAAGTCAATGCCCAGGATAGCAGAAGGAAAGATAAAAATTACCTGAGCCATTTAGGAATCCAGGGGGTGGGATGGAGAGCCCAGAGGGCAAAATGTAAACTCAGAGAGGGCAAAGGCAAGAGTCATAGAATATCCCTAGGCCTTGAAACCTAATATGGAGATTTCAAACCTAATCCTGCTGAATTATTAAACTACTTTGGATGGTGACTCCATTTTACCTACTCGTTTTCCCTGTTCGAACCAGAATATCTAGAAACTATTAACCTATGTCTGTCCCATCATTGTATGTTGGAATCAGATAAATTCCTTTAGTTTCAGAGAGCCACACAGAGAAAAAAATTGTGCCCTAGTGGGTATTTGATAGATTATACCAAGAGCCTCATCTGCACCTGATGTAGAAGACAGATGATGAGATTCGGGATTTTTCAGCTGATGCCATAACAGAATGAGAACTTTGGGGACCTTAAGATGGGATAAACATAATTTGCATTTGCGAAGAATGTAAATTTTGGGAGGCCAGGGTATGGATTGCGATGCTCCAAATATGGCCACATCCTAATCCCCAGAACCTGAAAATATTTTGTGTTGCATGGCAAAAGGGACTTTGCTGTTGTATTTAAGGTAATAAATCTTTAAAGAGAGAGTAGTCTAGATTATCTGGGTGGGTCCAGTCTCATCACACAAACATGAAAAGCAGAGAAGTTTCTCCAGTTGGAGGCACAGAAATGTTGTGGAGAAAGTCAGAGATGCCAAGCCTGAGAAGGACTCGACTGTCCATTGTTGACATTCAATATGGAGGGCAGGGCGCAGGGATCTCAGTCCTAGAACCACAAGAACCAGAATTTTCCCAATTACCTGGATTCTTTCCCAAGGCCCAGGCAGCTGGTGCATTGACATTGGTCTGCTGAGATCTTAAGCAGAGAATCCAGCTAAGACATGTGCCTTGACTTTGGACTTACAAAATTCACAACATGATAAACTTGAGTTGTTTTGTGCTGCTTAAAACAAACAAATGTGTAAAATAAGAAACTCTTTTTTAACGATTCTTTCAAATTAGATAGAATTCATGGAATAATCTCCAAGAGATCATTTCACTTGTCACTAATTTTTTTTTTTTTTGGTTGATAATTGAGTTTATAATTTTGTATTCTCCTTCCCCAGAAACCTAATACTGATCCACAGAGAAGAAATCAGCTACAGTTTGGAAACACCTACAATTTGCAAACTGATATAAGCCAGCAGTCATCTTTGCTGAGAGGCCACCTTTCCCACATATCACTGTTTGTTTAACTTGAGGTATTTTCAGATGTTTTGGAAATGTTATCTATTGGCTTATTTTGCATGTTTCTGTGTATGCTTAACCTCTGCACCTTTCTTTCCTTTCCTTCAAGTATTAGTCTGCTAAGGCTGCTGTTAGAAAATACCATAGGGGCGCCTGGGTGGCTCAGTCAGTTGAGAGTCTGACTTTGGCTCAGGTCATGGTTCCAAAGTTGGAGCCCTGCACTGGGCTCTGTGCTGACAGCTCAGAGCCTGGAGCCTGCTTTGGATTCTGTGACTCCCCCTCTCTCTGTGTGTCTCTCCCCTCATCTCTCTCTCAAAAATAAACGAACATTAAAAAAAATATTTATTTATTTTGAAAGGGACAGAGTGTGGGTGGGGGAAGAGCAGAGATAGAGGGAGACAGAGAATCCCAAACAGGCTCTGTGAGGTCCGGGCACAGAGCCCCGACACAGGGCTCCAACTCATAAAACCCTGAGATCATGACCTGAGCTGAAATCAAGAGGTGGAAGCTTAAGCAACTGAGCCACTGCGGCACCCCAAATGCATTTGAAAAGCTAAGCTCTTATAAGGCTTCAAGCTGCATCAAGTGAAAAATAGGATTTGGAATTTTTTTCAATAAAAGCTGTAGACACATTCTAAGAACAAATACAACTCAATTTTTCTTTATTGATCTAACTTAATGGCATTATTAACACTTCTATGCTTTAGGAAACACCTGGTCCAGTGCCTGGCATATAGTTTTTGAATAAAAAAAAAAAATGGGTGCATGTTTTGGTTCCCTTGAATAACAGGCAAGAAAGTACTATGACCATAACCGTTTCTCTACCTTCCCTGGACCGATGACTGTTTATCGAAACAGCAGTTTCCTTGGGTTCCTCAAATACTACAGAAGTAGGCCCTGTATTATAAATGAGTGCGAGCTTGAAACAAGTATAAACCGTTACCATTAATGGCGTCCTATCATAAAGCTGCCAGAAACACCTGTCTGGAAGCTGCCGCCAGATTCTTGCTTTAAAGCTTTGTAACTAATTACTGACCAAAACAACACTTTTCCTTAAAAAGAGAACTCCCAAAGAGAGTTTCATTTAACACCAAATCTCATTTAAATGACCTCTCCAAGGTCTAATAAAAATAGCAGAGAAAATGGCAATTTACATACATTAAGGTAAATGTTGCGGCCTGCAAAAATTGTCAATATGCTACTTGTTACCATTTCAAAAGCATTCATTCCCCATATCTCTTATCTGGATGATGCAGCTTCGAAAGGAATTTCAGGCTGCTGGTTCTAGAAACAAGATGTGGCAGAAAGAGACCCACACGCTTCAACGTAATGAGACCAATGGACTTCTTCCTTCTTAAGAAAGTTGACTGACATTTTCAAGGAAAGAGAAGTGAATTCTTTTCTAACTTCTTAAAGAAAACGAACACTAGTCTAGCATTGAATGTTTACATTTAGGCTTGACACGTTAGGAAACTTGAGTTTAACGGGCAAAAACTTAGGAAACATTCCTCAGACAGCACTTAAGGGTTCAGTAAATATTTATTTCTTTAGCATCTAAGTTGAGCTAAATACAAATTGTACATAATAGTACAGGCAAATGATGCAGTGCATAGCGGCAAATCCATAGGATAGTCAAAGGGACACACTGTCCATGGTCTTTGCACCTTACCACTAGATGATAATAAGTCTCATGGCTTATAATCAGTGAAAGAAATAAGAAAGCACATGCTGTTATGGGCCCAGGCAAATAAAAGGAAGCCATATAGGCCAGAACACCCCAATACAGTACTCTAGCTATAAGCCACTTAAACACAAACAGAACACGTTCAATTATAATGAGAGCCAAGATATAACGCTACCTTCCCAAGAAAAAATAAACATACCAGCTTAAATAACACACTCCAATCAAAACAGCGTTCGTGGAAAATCTATTATTTATACCTGATTCAAATGCAACAGGTGTTGGCCTGAAAAATGAGCACTGCTTTTGAAAAAGCAACTTGATGTGATGATACTCTGCTGTAAGAGCAAGCACATGGCCTCCTTATTGTCATCATAACTGCAAGCACTTTCTCCCGGGATCTCAAGTTTCCACACGAGGCTAAGCAGTTCTCTTAATGTCCCTGTCAGGCTAAAGACAACTCACTTTTAAGGTCAACAGCTGTTGTGTTTGTTTCATGCTTAACACCAACAGGCAGAACTATGTATCATAGTTTACAAATTGTACAAATGCTCATAATCGCTACGAAGATTTACAAAGCCCTACACCCTATTGCGAATATTAAACACTCAATAAAAACATCCTAACTGTTCAGCTAATTTGGGGAAGCACAAAAACTCCAAAATATATACAGAATTGCCGCTTACTAAACAGACAAAGACTTTCTGCTCCCTTTTATGTAGATTTCTTACTCGCGTTTATTTCTAGTTTAATCCCTGTTTCTCCAAGTTAATAGCTTTGCACTGAAATTTTCAGTGATAAACACATAGGAAAAAAATTAGCAATGTAGAATGTTAGACATGGAAGAGACCTCACAGATCATGAAGTGAACCCTCTTGGAGTTGTAATCCTACTTGCTAACAAATTTTCATCTCTGTATAGCTGACATAGAACTGAACGAGGAGGGTGTGCACGGCTTGACCTCACCTCATCCTATACACCGGGCCTCTGCTTACAGAGAATGTCCTAGCATTGGTCTGAAAAAGCAGGAGACCGATCCTGCATGCAGGTGCCTATTTGAACCTAGGATGGGCAGTTACGATTCTTTCTCAGCTTAATGTTTGTTCCTAGAGGGCATGATTTCTCTTCACCAGGTCTCTGGGGAAAATACGGTGAGTCAGGAACGACTCTTAATTCCCCCAAGTCTTGTAGGTAGCTAAGTACATGCCCTTCCTAAGTTCAAGAAAAAGAGGATAAAGCTGATCAACAAATTAGTGATTTTCTAAGCCTGGACATTTCTCAAAGGAGACCCTGAATTTGAATTCTGACACCAGACCGAATAAAAGACTGGGAAGGCGTTCTGTGGTAGGTTTCAGATTCTCAAGGACAGCCACATAGGTTGTTGGTTTGTCTTTAACAGGGCAATACAGCTTTATCTTAAAGTACATCGTGATGTGTTCCTGTGGTGCAACACATCTGCACACATTTGGGGGAAGAAATGGGGAGACAGAGTAAGAAAAGGGGAAAAAGTATATATGTATGGAAATTTAGTGCTCTTACCCAATTGTGGACTTGAGTGGTCAACATTTTCTTATCAAGATGCTCTTAAATTAGCATTTTAAAAAGCTCCCTCTCCTTAATGGTCATCTCATATTCCTTGAACAGCTTCAAGGTATATTTAATTCTTAAGACTTATTATCAAAGTTATTTTCCTCAGTCTTATCTCTTCAGTTACGAAATATTTTAGCTCATAAAGGACATTACTGTTATCCTTGTTAACAACAGCTTATATGCGCTATTGGGATTAAAATGTCAACTAAGTAGGTGCTATATGCCTTACTTAAAAAAAAAAAAAAAAAAAAAAAAAAAAAACCCGAAGAGAAAATCCTGCTTTCCTTTTTCTTGTATTAATGGAAGAATATTTTCAATAAATCGTGCTTTACTGACTTATCTGTTCACTTCGAGTATTTCAGACATAAACTTTGCTAAGGACCCCTGTGATCTGTGGTTACGGTTCTACTTCTCCACACTGGGTGGGATTTTATTGAAAAACACGCTGTTTCCAGTTAATACTGGTGGGCGGCAATGACCTCCGGTGGATTCTTGAGGAAACAGCAACTGGGTTTTTCAGAGAACGTTCTTTTTCAAAATATTTCTATCCTTCAGAACTTTTGGAGCTTCATGGCTTAACAAACGAACTTCTTAGACTTTCTTAAAACACTTTTGTATTTGTTAATTTTCAAATGAAAGTATAAGCTATTCCAAGTTCTCCACACCTTAACTTTCTTAATTATATACTCTGTAAGCTAGCTTTGAAAGTTGAAATGAATATCTAAGTATTTAAATAAACATTCGTAATTGTTTTCACGTATAATTCACTTGTTTTTAATTTTTATTTAAATGAAAAATCTCAACAAAACTTCCTATATTAGAAAGGTAATCACTACATTAAAAGGGGAAGGACAGACTTCAAGAAATACCCATTCTCAAAAACCTTGGATCCTATTTATAAAAGTAAACGTGCTCTGGATATCTCGGTAGTTAAGTGACCCCGTGAAACAATTTTGTTATTTGTTAACATAAAATAGCGAGGAAAATTAGATATCTGAGCACAAATTGCTTTAATATTTTAAAGACAATAAACATGTTTCTGGAGTGTCCTTTATATTTGAGGGAAGATTATTTAGAAGGCGTAAAATTTAAGTTTTAATAGAGCTTCAGGGCTATAATATCTTCATTTTTGGCCTGTGAGGTAATAAATTATTCATAAACACATTATTTCCATCTTAAAGCATGACATAAGCAGTGAGACATTTTTAAGTTTTTCTTTTTCTTCTGAAAATGGACAGGATGTATTAACAGAAACTGCTTTCAAATCTTTCCTAGACAATCTGTAAAAAGAGAAAAAAGAGAATATACTTTTTCTACCACAAGAGGGTAGCAAAAACTTTTTCAGTTAGATTTCTAACTGTAACTTCATCTGTTTTTGGCATATTTTGCTATCTTTCTGAGAAGTTATCTTAATGTCATTCTTTCTGCACTGGAGTGAAATTCAAAGGATGTGTTTTCATCATGAAATGTAACTGTAGAGAATGTGGCTTATTGAATGTTTTATGAAGGGCATGAGCCTCAAGGTGACCATAATTTTTCTTTCATGGTTTACAATAATTTCAACACACCTGGCTTCATAAAACTCATGGTTTAGATACTAATACAAGTTTTGTTTTGTTTTTTTTTTCCCACTAATACAATTCTTAAAAAGTACAGACAGTTCATGTGAGAATGATAAAGTATTTGGTATTCTTTACCTTTTACATCGTAGTGGAAAGGTAGAATTCAGAAAGATTAAAATATATATTTAATTTTCACATGATTATTAACATCTCTAATTTTTCAATATTCCAATAACCATAAGCCTTCCAAGAGAAAATAATAATTGCCATGGAAAAGCAGCCAGGTACTCAAAACTACAGACAAGGTCACTTTTTGATAAATATTGTTTAGAAAAGTTAGTTAACTTTATGTGATTTTTAACCAGTCAAATGAGTACATATAATAATTTATCATAATACCTTCACAGTCATTTCTGTATTACAGAAACCTGTTAAGCGATACGAAGCTGGATGGTTTCTCATTTTGTTTGTTTTCGGTTCCAAACATAAATTCTTCAGAAGCCAGGAGACGGTGTCATGCCGTCAGGAGTCCAGCGTGTGCCTGGGCAGGCGATAGTGCTCAGCTTTGGGACGAAGCTTCTTCTCCTGTGGGTTGGCGTACTTCCACTTGGAAGGTGACATTTTAAGCTTTTTCCTCTTCTTATCTGTGCACCAGACCTTTTCACAGTATTCTTCCACTCTCTGGAAGTTGCTATAACCAATCAGCTGTAAGAATTCCTTGTACCATGGTTTTGCCCCCTGTGGGATGATACTCTGGGCAGGACAAGGCATCTTGGGAGGCCCGTCCTCTTCCAAGTCTTTGTGAAACATCTCCTCTACTCTCTCCTCTTCTACTACCTCCAGGGTAATTTTGCGGACGGTATGGACAAAACCATGCTCTACTGTCTGGCAAAAATAGGTCCCAGCATCCATTTTTCGTACCCTAAGGAAGAGTAAGCCGAGGTCCATCTTGACCACTCTGTCATCTGTCTTCACCTGCAAGAACAAGAAAATCAATGGCACTGGAGTATTATCTAGGAGAGAACACCAGCCTATAACCCTTTTATTATCATCAGATTTTTAATTTTTGTTATTACATGATGAAATCCTGAGAGTCATACATACATATGAGAGAGAGCAAGAGAGTGAGAGTGACTGAGAGAGGGGGAATGACTAATTAAATCAGGTGTGTGTGTTGAACTTACTTGAGATCACTTCATATAATGATTTTTGACGTCATTTCACATCAATATTATTAAGAGGCGAGTGAAAGAGCTTTCTCCCTAATGATTTCAATTAATCATTAGAAAAAAATATCTACTTCAGTACAGCACTCAAAGTTAGACTAAAATGAAGATCTATCAAATTTATTTTTTTTCTTAGTAGACAGCACAAATGCCATTTCTCCCATCAGTAGATCAAGGGTTCTTCCCTGATCATAAAGACCTGGGTCTTCCCCAGATCATAAAGACCAACATTTCCATAAGGATCTCTCTTAAGAGAGGTGAGAAACCTTCACTCTCTTTCTTTACAAAAAAAAAAAAAAAATCATCCATTAAGTGAGCATGCTTATATTTCTACAAGGCTTTCTACTTAACAGAGACTTAAAATCAAGCCAGAAACATCCATATTCTTCTCGGAAGAATTTCACACTCTAATAATTTTAAGTTTGAATATAACTTCAGGACTCAAATACCTTATATTTGTGAAATAATAGGTTATGCACATTATTTCTATAAATTATTACAATTCAAGGTAAGAAGAGCCCAATAAAGCTTTTGATAAACAGCTCATATCTTATTACCGATAGTTGTACTAGTGAGTATATGATTGCACATTAGACAAATCTAAATTGAAATTTTGGCACTAACTGTGTGATCTGGGGCATTTATGTATATTCTCTTAGTTTTCTTTGTAAAAATGCAGATAATCCAAATGTCACTTGAATGTTGTGACGTTTCCATAAAATAATGTATAAGTGAGAACACTTTGTACAGGGCTATCAACACCGACCTCTACCTTTCCTGTATACAATCTTCTAGCTAAAAACAAACTGGTTTTTGTTTTCAGATGACCCCAGATCATGCCATGATGGTATAAAGGTGACTCACACCTTACTGGCTGACTTCTCCCTTGAGAATACAAAACAAAAGCGATATTCTCCTTTACCAGTATAAAAGGGGCATACGGACAACCAGAACCACTTTGGCAGCAAAGACCATTAAGACAAGCACACTTTTGCCCCAGTGGCAGGTATTGGCAAGACCTGCTGGGCTCACCTTTCCTGAACCTTAATCAGTTCCGGCACGTCCAAAGTTGCAATGTAATTACTCATGTGGACTCATTTATATAATCTGTGAATAATGTGACAAAATGGCATTAGCAGTGTAGTAAGAGATGCATCTCAAATAGGAATGTTAAAGACAAATTATGAGACACTCAGAGGGTTTTTTTTTCTTCAGCCACGTAGGTAAATAAATTACTCAGCAGCTTTAGAGTGACACAGTTGGGTGAAGGGGCTCCATATATCCTTGATATAGGCTTCATTTAACTTGATAGGACTATGTCCAAGTAGGCAAAACGTTAGCTCCACTAACTCAGGAAGTTCTCCCGTGAGGGATCAGGAAGAGCTGTCATGCCATAAAACACACTACATACGTCACTACATAAAACAGTTGCTTACTTGGTGACAGGTTTTGCTGAGAAAGTATCCTTGGCAACTGCCACAGCCAATACCTCTTAAATGACCTGGAGTCACTGCTCACATTTACCCCTACTTAATCCATAAATTCACCACCATGCCTTGGATGCTTCTGACTCTGAAACACAACCTCCATTGTTTTTAAACTTATGGCTGCATTTGACATAGAGGGACCCACCTTCTTAAACTTTTTTCTGTGTGGTACCTGCCATTTTACTATCTTGGCTCTCCTCTTGGTTCTTTCTTGGTCTCTTGGTGTAAATTTCTCATTCTCTCTAAGGCACAATCCTCTACCCTTCCCTGATCTCATGTTTTATTTGCATTCATTTGGTAAGTCTTCTGTTTCCTCATTTCAACCAGCTTCCCTAAGACAGATCTCACACACAGATTATCCACTGTTTTGTATTTCCTGTTAATTACAAAACACTGACCGAAACTTACACCATCCTTCATTATTTACAATCCAGTGTCTCTCCACACAAACTGCACCTCCCCATTTACTAACTTCCCTATTCCTGACAATTACATTATTCTTCTTCTAGTTCCTCTGTCCTCATGTGTTGTCATACTTCTTACTCATTATTATGCCTTCATAGCCAACACATCACAAATTCCTATCAACATCTCTTCTGTGGTGATGGTGGGAAACATTCATTCCATTTCACCATTTTCCCACGTTAGACTTTCCCATGTTAGGCTCTTCTATTTTGTGACTGATTCTTTGACTTTATCTCCCGGTAGATTCCTCCCAAATCTTCCTGCTTTCTGTGTCTGCTGCTATGCCCAGCTTGATTCTGTTTCGGGACCTATGCTGTTGTACCTGCATGTAGGGACTTCCCCACTGCTGGTTCCTTATTGGAAAAGACTGAATGAAAATGTCATCTCTTCAAACAGGCCTCCCTCACAGCACTGTAAGATTGTACTCCTTCCCTTATTACCACCATGTCATCTGTTAACCTTTCTACAAGTGGGCATGCAAAATTACCTGCAAAAAAGAACAAGTCCTTCAAGTAAGTTTCTTTTGACTAATACCTTTCCCCTTTATTTCAACAAATGTGTATTATTTTACTCTGTTTCAAATTTCACTTCCTTTTATCATGCTTATTCAGATTCTATTGCTTGCCCAAGCAAGTGAAAATTGTTCAGTTAACCAGATCCTGCTTTTTCTTTTTTTAGAGAGAAAGAGAGCAAGCAAAAGAAAGAGAAAGCAGGGCAGAGGTGCACAGGGAGAGAGAATCTTAAACAGGCTCCATGCTTAGCGTGGAACCTGACACGGGGCTCGATCCCATGACCCTGGGATCATGACAGCCGAAATCACGCGTTGGACACTCAACTGACTGAGCCACCAGGTGCTCCCAAATCCTGCCTTTCTAAATCCGTATTCCAAAACAGCTTACTGCAGTGTTTCTCATAGGTTTGGTGGAATAGGTACGTTTCTGGTGATCAATCAGTTTTATACAAAGACTTCGACTATTGTGTTTAGTTTTCATGATAATGTAAATTAATAAACTGTATTTGGGATCGTGGGGAAGATCAACTTCATTGTTAGTATTGGTGTTTATCATAGATTCTAAACTATTTTCAAAGCTTTAACAGTTTCCAGCTGCTGAGAACAAAGATGAATGTAGTATGTTAATGATACGTTCCAGCCAGATGAAAACCAAACAACATCCCGATGTAGTAACGTACATAAAAAGTTTTGAAGTCACTTGTATCAAGTGTTAGGGGGATTGAGTCATCACACAGCAAAAAGTGCTCCAGGCAGATGTTTTATACACTCATGGACACACACACATATATAGTTGTCTGTGTCCCATGTTATGTTCATGGAGATGCCTTATTTCAGTGAAAAAAAAAAAACACATTAAAGATTAAAAAATGCAAGTATTTATATCTTATTCGTGAATTTATTTTGTTTCTACATTTGAATAAAAGTTACAAGCAAAAATATGCACTCGTTTTATTCTTGTGCATATTTAATAAACATTTTAATATAAATTCTGCCAGCAGCACAGGACGTTTTACATTCAATGGCACAAGGTGGGAACAACCTGTAGATACACCAGAGTCAAATCTTCCTCTTTGTAACTCCTGTACTCATTTCCTTGTAGTGCCCCTTTATCGCTTCCATGTCTTATTCTAGTCTTACCCTTTCTTTCTGATAGCGAACTCCCTTATACTGTCTACCAATCCACTTTTTAAAATTTCTTTCCAAGTTTACATTTTCATTTCTTAATGAATATTTTCTTTTCAGCCAGATAGGTCTCATTTCTTTTTGTAATTCACTAAGCTTTCACATTTGTAGCACACAAGCTGGTATTTGCTCCTCTTCAAATAATTTTGTGATGCAAGTTTTTTCCTTTAACCATATGACAAGTTTCATAAGAACAAAGGTCTCTTATTCTAAATAGTCCATAATGAGTAGTGTGCTCAGAATACAGAGAAATGACAACATACTGATTAGTCCAGAGTGTGCAAGAATGCAAGACAACGGGATATCCCAGTAACGATATATCCAGAAGTTATTCACTTGCGGATTTACTCCAGAAGTAAATCCAATAAGGATTTAGACAGGAAGGAAGCAAAGATGATTTGAGGAGCAGTTAGTAACTATTGAAAGGGCTATGCTTTGGAGATATAAATAGGAAAACCACTTGTAGGACACTGTTTTCACCTGAAAGGAATCTGTATACCAACACCCTCACTGAATACGATCCTTTATCTTCTCCCTACTCTATATCCTGTGCGAATGCAAATATGAAAACAGGAAAGTCATCTATCCTAGTTTCTGGCATATACCAACCAGTTTATGAAAGTGTTCTAAAATAAAACAAAAAGCAGAAATGAAGATAAATACAAATCCTTGACCACTGGATTAGGAGTGCTTATTTTTTCAAGCATGTATTTCTTTCAAAATCAGAAACCCAACTTGAGAAACACCGCACTGTGTATATATAAAGTCCACACTGGTTCAAAGATGTGGAGGCATGACAATTACAATGGGAGGTGTCCTACATCATTTATTTGCACATTGGAGATAGTTCCTGTCTCAGAATGTAGGTCTCCCCTCTTGGTTATGGTGTTAGAAATTGAGAAATAAAAGACACTTCAATTCTGAAATCTGGACGGCTGTATGCTATATGGACGTTAAATCGCCTTGAAAGTTAAATGTATCTTCCATAGCCTATGGATACCCAAAAATAAAAAAATGACTTAGAAATTTGTATTTGAAATCCTTCCATGATTTAATCTTTCCACTTGAGTCCACATGGGCACCTTCGACAGCAAATCTTGA